TGTACTTGCTAGTCTTCCTCATTGTAAGGGCTTTGCTTTCTTCCCCCCACCCCCACCTCTGTTCTGGAATGTAAACTGCAGGGAGTCATTAAGCCTTAAGTTTACCTTGACATTCAGCAAGGTTCTTGCAGGGATCCCAGTGGGTTAATGTGGAATAGCCCCATTCTAGGAAGTGTTACAGGAGCTGCATGAAGCCTTGGCCCCTTGTCAGAGAGCTTGGGGAGATACTCTGTGGCATATCCTCCACATCACTGCCCCTTCCTTTGAAGAAAGAAAAGGGCGGGCCCTGGCTGGCATAGCTCAGTGGATTGAGTGCGGGCTGCAAGCCAAAGTGTTGCAGGTTCGATTCCCAGTCAGGGTACATGCCTGGGTTGCAGGCCATGACCCCCAGCAACCGCACATTGATGTTTCTCTCTCTCTCTTTCTCCCTCCCTTCCCTCTCTAAAAGTAAATAAAATCTTAAAAAAAAAAAAGAAAGAAAGAAAGAAAAGGGCTCTATCCTTCACATGGTGCTTTGTCATTCCTATGCAAGGTTAAGGTGAGATTGGATGTAAACTCTTGGTTTCCTAGGCCCTCTGCACACCCAACTATTACCAGTTTTCCTGTTGCCCTTCTATCAAATATTTTCCATCCAGTGTAGAAGGTTTTCTTATACCATGCAAAACTAAACAAACGTGAGAATAGTAGACTATTAGCTATCACTTGTTAAGCACCTATTCTGTGCTGAGCCCTGTGCTAGACACCTTATATTTTATTTTATCTCTCAGTAACCCTATGGGATAAATAATATCAGTCAAGTTTTATAGATCACAAGATTCAGAAAGGTTAAGTGACTTGCCTAAGATCACGTAGCTAACAGGTAACCAGTTTGGAATTCAAAGCTAGATCTTCTCCAGCTCCAAAACTGCAGAGGTTGGGCTTTATAGTCTCTTAGACATTAATAGATGAAACCTTTTTTCCTCACATTTTCTGGATGGCAAAAGTGGAGAGAATGGCAAAGGAATTGACTAAAATAATTCTTAAAAGTTTTAGCCAGCCCTCAAATTCCACAGGAGAAACTCAGATCTTTGCAGGTTACAGGTCACTTTACTCTTGTGTCTTATCAAATTCATTGCCCTCAGTGTACAAAGACAATTCTCTTCACATCAGTGCTTCTCAAACTTCAGCAGATAAGGAGCTCTTCAGAAAATCCATATTCTAATTTAGATCTATGCCAGGGCCTAAGATTAGAAAAGGAGAGAGCAAGTGCATAAGCTCGGTACAAACTCCCCCCCAGGTTATTGTAATTCCCAAACTGGGATCTAGCTGATCTAGCAGCTAACATATTATAGATACGTTGTCCCACACAACACAAAGGTGTAAGGGGACAATTAATTTTGCTTCATTAAACATTTGTTAGAAGTTATTTAAAGGGTAAGAATCTTTTTTTTGGAAGGTCTAGTTCACAAGCTTCAAGAGCAGGAAGTATCCCTGTATCTCAGAAGGAAACAACTAGGAATTAGAAAACCACTAAGGAACTGAGGGTGACCATACTTCTTCTCTTCTGTTTTCTTTTTTCTGTGGAATGGCTTTGGTAGAAAATGGCCACTCACACAGTCTACTGCCACCAGCTAGCTCCACATTTCTGAGAGAATTTGAATGATGTAGTCTAATCTAGCCTTGACTGGTTCTCCCTGAGCCAGGGGGCCACCCTGGACAGTGCTGTGATCCGGAGATCATAGCTACAGGGCCCCACACTTAGTGCAGGGATGCGAGGGGTCCCTAACATCACTGGGCAGACTTCCTGAAAGGTGACTACTGCATGTGCTTACTATGTAGCTTTGCATTGTCAAGGCAGGATTAAAGAACCAAATACTGTATTTTGCTATATATAATGTGCACCCACATTTTTGGCCCAGACTTTTGGGGGGGGGAGGAATTCTGTTTTAATTTTTTTATTCAGTTTTTATTATATTTAGAAACAAAACTGGTTATCATATTCCAGGGTATTATTTTGCATACAGATATCGTTTATTGCTTTCTATGGAGTTATACTTTTAATGCCTATGCATAAATAAAAGAATTAAAAAATTTTTATATAGATATAGAATTAGTACTACCCATGTATAATGGGCACCCTTATTTTTCCCTCGAAAATTTGGGCAAAAAATGTGCCCAGTATACACAGCAAAATATGGTAGATAAATCGTCTGCTTTTAGAATTGGGAGGGCCTTATTAGCTTAATAGGGAAGCGAGGCAAGATTTCAAGTCAACATGATATGGTCTAAGCTGTAGGTAGAAAGCTATCCTGGGAGCCTACAAGAGAGGAACTTAATGAGCCTGGACATTGAGGGAATACTCAAAGAGGACATGTCTGACCTGAATCATGACAGATGAATACGTGTTGGCCAGGTTGAGAAAAGAGTAGGAGAAAGCATTTCTGGCATTGTGAACAGTGTGAGCATGAAACAGAGCATACATTTCATTGAAGATTTTTTGTTTGAATAATAATTAATAAACAGCTATTTCTAGAGCATAAGGTCCTTGGCAGAATGTGAAGTTAAAGAGATAGGGAAAGGTAAGATTGAGGGGAATCTTTTTCACCTGAGGATATCCTTATTGATTTTTTTTAGAGAGCAAGGAAAGGAGAGAGAAAAAAGAGAGGGAAACATCCATGTAAGAGAGAAGCATTGATCAGTTGCCTCCTGTATGGGCACCAACTGAGAATGGAACCTGCAACCTAGGTATGTGCCCTGACTGGGAATCGGACCCTCAGCCCGATTTTTTGGTGTATGGGACGATGCTCCAACCCAACTGAGCCACCCGGCCAGGGTGAGATTGACAAGAATTCTGGTGCCATGCTAAGGAGCTTGGACTTAGATAAAGGGGAACAGTTGGACATTTTTTTAGGTGACATAGGAGGATTCCCATTTTTATGAAGAGGACTCATTATAGTGTGGAGAAGAGTTTTGATGGTGGGCTTGTCTGGAAGCACCAAAAATATTTGCAGTTATCCAAAGGAGAGGTAGTGAGCGAGGATGGAGAGGAGGAGCCAACTGTAAGAATACTTTGGAGACAGACTTGGCAGGTCTGGGTTCGGTGATGGAACGAGGGAGAAAGGGAAGTCTAGGATAAATTCCAGGCTTAGGTGACTAGGTAGATTGTGGCATAAGATGAAATGAGCAATTTGGGGAGGTGGAAGATGCTTTCTTTTGAACGCATTTAGTTTAAAATGCCTGTGGTACACATCAGCAATGGTACAAGTTAGGCAGGGAGTTTGCTTTAAGGATTTATATTACAGGATGGGGGTGGTTGTCCCCAGCCCCCATCTCCTTTGTATAATTTTTTCTCAGTCCTCTCTGCCTGGTATTCTTGTTCCAACTTCTCCTGCCTTCCTTCATTCATTTTCCATTTTCACCTGAGGATATGCTCATTGATTTTAGAGAGGGGGGAAAGGAGAGATAGGGAGAGAAATATTGATGTGAGAAACATTGACCAGTTCCCTCTCATTTGGGCCCCTACCGGGGATCAAACCAGCAACCAAGGCATGTGCCCTGACCAGGAATCAAACCCACAACCCTTTGGTTTACAGGACGATGTTCCAACCACCTGAGCCATACAGTCCAGGGCCTTTTTCTTTTTCTTTTTCTTTTTCTTTTTTAGATTTTATTTTTAGAGAGAGGGGAAGGGAGAGACAAAGAGGGAGCGAAACATCAGTGTGTAGTCACCGGTCACCTCTGGAGCATCCCCTACTGGGGACCTGGCCTGCAACCCAGGCATGTGCCCCGACTGGGAATTGAACTAGTGACCCTTTGTTTCACAGGCCAGCACTCAATTTACTGAGCCACACCAGCCAGGACCCAGGGCTCCTTTATATATATATATATATATATATTTTTTTTTTAAGATTTTATTTATTTATTTTTAGAGAGAGAAGGGAGGGAGGGGGAGAGAGAGAGAGAGAAACATCAATGTGCGGTTGCTGGGGGTTATGGCCTGCAACCCAGGAATGTACCCTGGCTGGGAATCGAACCTGGGACACTTTGGTTCCCAGCCTGTGCTCAATCCACTGAGCTACGCCAGCCAGGGCTCCTTTATATATTTTAAGTTTAAGGCCTATCTAGTTTTTCCTTACAAATCTCCTGTGCAAGCAGTGGGTTACTTTATACAAAGTTTTGACATGATTTGTCTTTGCCACAAAATTGCTGGTATGATTTTACATCAGCTTCCTGGACTAGAAGGTATATGAGGGCAGATATTATTTCTCTCTTATTCATATTCTCATCCCTAGTTGGTGCTGAATGAAGGAGTGAATCATTAAATCACATAAAAGTGTTGAATAGTAGACTCTGAAATGTTCTTACTCTAAGACTGACCTTTTCTGTAAAACATTTCTCTGAGTTGAATCTTGGAGAGTGAAAGGGGTTAGATTGGTAAAGAAGTGGAGAAGAGCATTTCAGGCAGAAGCAGCAGCGTGAGCAAAGGCATGGAGGCATAGAACAGAATGGTGTCTGTGGGTAGAGTTAAACAGTGAGATATTAACTCTTACCTTGTCATATGTCTCAGGTCACTCCAGCAAACGTAATAACATTTATAGGTATGTTTAATAGTGGTTGTGATGTGTTCTGGGAATTGTGTTTTGTTTGTAAGTGTCTATGCATGTATAGATAAGGATTTGATACCTAAAGTATGCCCAAACTGGCAGAAAACCTTTAGTCAGTTTATTTAGGTCCATAGTCTAATGCAAGTTATCTTTGAAGCTGTCTTTGGATCCTAAGCAAAACTTCCTGCTTCCTAATCTGTGTTCATGTAGCATATTATACTAATCTCTGTTGTATTTTCTTATTTTCATGTTTCATTTGACTAGTAGCCCTGCCTATGCCTTTAATAATTCCCAGTATCTAGCATGTAGTAAGCATTAATTAAATGTTTGATAGATAATGAAGTGAATGGATGTTTGTACTCAGGGTCAGCCACATTAAGGAGAAGGTATTTCGCTCATGTTCCTTTTCTCTTACAGCTCTTTGTAGTGGATGTCCAGACAAGCCAGATTACCAAGATTCCCATTCTGAAGGACCGGGACCCTGGAGGTATAACCCAGCAGGGCTGTGGTATCCATGCCATTGAGCTGAATCCTTCTAGAACACTGTTAGCCACTGGAGGAGACAACCCCAACAGTCTTGCCATCTACCGGCTGCCTACACTAGATCCTGTGTGTGTAGGAGATGTAAGTTTCCCCAATAATTGAAGTTAGAGATAGCCTTGTTTTTTCAGTAGAGCTGGATAGGTCATATGGACCCTCCTCCCACAAGCCCTCTGGGAAGGGATAGTTTCCTCTAGATTTCTGCTGACTCTAGGGGTATGGGGCTGAGGCGTGGGGGTGGAGATTTCAGAAATGGGGACTGGACTCCCCATAGGGAGTATCAGGTATATTGACAGAGAGTATTTGTTTGATGAAGGGGCAAGTAGCGTACCTCAAGTGCCAGCAGAAGTGGATTAGTGTTTGAGTACAGTTTCTCCTACTGCCCATAGTCAGAAAGCAAAGTTTATTAAATCATTCATTCAGTAACTATTGAGCCTTCTGTGGCCAGGCATTATTTTATACACTTGGAGCTCAGCAGTAGATAAAACAGATAAAGCCTCTGTCCTCTTGAAGCCTGCATTCTAGTGAAGGGAGGCAACATATAAGTCATGTAAACCAATAAATACCAGCAGTATGTCAGAGTTGATAAGTGCCCAGGAGAAGAGTAATGGCAGATTACAGCAATAGAAAGTGTGTGGAGAATGCTATTTCAGATGATAGCCCCACTGATAAGAATGACATTTAAGCAGGAAGACTCAAAGGAAATGAGGGTGTAAACCATGTTGATGTCTGGAAGAAGTTCCAGCCAGAAGGAACAGCAAAGAGGTCAGTATGGCTGTTATTCTAGGAAGTAAGGGAGAGAGTATATGACAAGGCTGGAGGGATTAGAGGTGGGTGATTGTATGTAGAAGCCCCAAATAAGTCAGTGATGTGTGTCTACCAGACATGCTTATTTTCTACAGGAATGCTAGTTTCACTCTAGTTTCGTACTCCTTAAGACAGAAGTTAAAGATTGTGGGATCATGCCCTGAGGGTTGAAATAGCCAGAGATTGGAGTTGTAATTTTTACAAAGATAGTTTCACCCAGACTTGTGTGCTTTTCAAAAGTGTGCATTGTAATCCTTATTTTACTAATTTCCTTTTTTTTTCTCTCTCTCTCTCTCTATATATATCTGTCATTCCTTCACCTCCAAGGATGGGCACAAGGACTGGATCTTTTCTATTGCTTGGATCAATGACACTATGGCTGTGTCTGGTAAAATTGCCTTTGTGTGGGGAGTTTTGGTGTGGCGGGGAGGGGGAGAAGCTAGAAATTCAAAAGGGATAGTAGTGTGACTGAAAATAGCCCAGTAAACAGACAACCAGGAGTCAGGAGATCTTGTTTCTAATATTGGCTCTTTCTCTGATTTACCATGTGACCTTGGATAAGGCATTTCCCCTCTGTAATCCTGATCTAGAAAATGGAGGTACTGGCATGCTTCATTTATTATTCATACTCTGCTTTGTTCAAAAAAAAAAAAAAAAGCATGTGTGATGGCATATTAGCCTAACATCTTTGTGGGCTTCATTTAAATAATGGTTGTTAACATGTTTTGGAAAAGTTGATTGTTTTATAAAGTATTAGGAGAAATTATCATTTTCTCTACAACTAAGTATATAACATTAAGTTTCTTATTGATAAAAACTATGCATTATTTTTCCCCCCATGGTAGAATAGTCAAAAATATATGGAAATGAGTATAGAGAAGATAACCTAGAAACATACAAATGCCTTCTCCATACCCACAGTAGCCTAGGAGGTAGGCTCAGAGTGCAAACCATTTTTACCGGGTACTCATATGTAAAAATACCCCCCATTCCAGATTCCCAAATAAAAATAATTTTATTGCTAAAGTACTTCACATATGTTATCTTCTATAATCCTCTGAACAGTACCAGAGGGTTTGCATTATCAGCCTATTTCACAAATGAGGAAATTTAGATTCTGGGAGGCTATTACTATAAGTTGTTGTAGCCACACAGATTGTGAGAGGTGGAGTCAGGATCTGAATCCAGGTCTGATTTCAGAGCCCATACTTAGAACTGTTAAAGCTAGGGGAACATAAATATTTCTCCTTTGGATCCTTTTTTTTTTTTTTTTAAGATTTTATTTATTTTTAGAGAGAGGTGAAGGAAGGGAAAAAGGTAGGAAAGAAACATCAGTTGGTGGCCCCTCACAAGCCCCCCCAGCTAGGCACCTGGTCCATAACCCAGGCACATGCCCTGACTGGGAATCAAACCAATGACCCCTTGGTTTGCAGGCTGATGCTCAAATCACTGAGCCACACCAGCCAGGGCTCTTTGGATTCTTTGCAAGGTAGTAGAGAGGAGCCAGGAATGAACACGTATGTACTCAGCAGTGGTTGAGAAGTTTTTGATTCCCTTCTATTTTTCTCCCCAAGCAATGAGAGGGCAGAGGCTGTAATGTCATCTCTGTAGAGACTACATGTCAGTAACCTGCACTAAATTTGGTTGTTGGAAGCCAGGATTTGTCTTTATTTGGGATCCTCCCATCTCTTCTTTAAGATACCCTGCCAGTGTCTTATGTTTTCAAGCTGATAACTCCCAAGTATACATTTCCTGAACAAAAACAGGAGGTTTTAAGAACCCTGCCTCTGTTATTAGAGACCTGAATTTGAATCCTGGTCCTTCCACTTATTAGGTCTAAATTTTGAGCAAGTTACTTAAGCTTTTGAGAGACTTGGATTTCCTCATTTGTAACATGGATAATGGTAATGTATACTTTAGCGGGTCACTGAGAAGGTTAAATGAGATAATGCATAGTGGCTACCATATTGAAAATGCTCAATACTTATAAACCAGTGCTGATGTTCAGACTTGATAATGAGCATCAGCCTCTGAACATTGTGCCTCAAAATCTGTATATTTAATCTCATCATCACCCTTTCAAAGCTTCCCTCCACCACATTGACATAATATTAGTGAGTGCTCCCTCCTTACCCAGCATCACAGCTAGAGAACTGAGACTCATCTTAGGCTCTTTAGTTTCCTTAGAGTACCAAGCCATGTTGATAACTATTTTCTAAAGTATCTCTGTATCCATCAATTTCTTTTTTTATCTTCTACATTCGAGTTCTCGTACATCTCTAGAGTTACTGAAGTATCCTTCTACGAGGTCTGTCTAGAAAAAGTCCAGCCATTGTTAACATAATGAAAACAGTTTGCACAACATGGACATAACCTGGCAGCCAAGGAGAGGGGACTGGGATGTACATGCATGAACAGTGGTGACTTTACTGTACTATTTTGGGGGGGTGCGGGTGGTAGATGCTGTTGAGTATGGCTATTGCTTTCAAAATGACTGAGCGAGTAAAGCAATGAATTTGCATCAAATTTTGCAGTAAGGTTGAACATTCCTCCACGGAAACTATTTAGATGATTCAGAAGGCTTTCGGGGGTGGTGCAATGAGTGCAGCATAAATGAAAGGGGCACAAATATTTCAAAGATGGTTGAGAATCTGTTGAAAGTGATGCACCTTCTGGAAGGCCTGAAACAAGCAGAACACCTGAGAATTTTGAGCTCTGTGTGGGCTACAGTCAACAAAGATTGGTGACTGACAGTGTGAGAACTAGAAGCTGATCTGGGGGTTCCAAAAACTGTCCAAGGTTTTGACACAGGTTTTTGGCATGAAATGTGACAAAATTTGTCCTGTGGCTTCTGCTGCCAGAGCAGAAGGCACATTGTGCTGCAGTTGGTAATGACTTGATTCAGACTGCTACCAATAAACCAGATTTCCTCCAGAAGGTCATAACTGGAGATGAATTGTGGATCTACAGCTATTACCCGGAAATAAAGGCCCAGTCTTCCCAATGGAAGTTGCATGGTTTCCCATGCCTGAAGAAGGCATGGCAATGTCACAGCAATACAAAGACCATGTTAACTGTGTGTTTTGATTGGGAAGGTACCTGCTTTGAAGGGGACTGAGGCATCATTGTCCTATGTAGAGTGTTCCTTGTATCTTGAATCTTCTTCAATAAGTATCTTTTTCGTATTGCATGGCTGGATGATCCTTTCTGGACATACCTTGTATATTTTCTTTGTTTTAGTTTTGTCTCCTCAGATTTAATCTTCATGTTGCTGCCAAGTTCTTTAATTTTTTCTTACTGTGAAAATAATACACATAAGAATTTTTTTTAATCCTCATATGAGGATATATTTGTTGCTTTTGGGGGGGCGGACAGAGAGATTCCTGTATGCACCCCAACTGGGAATCAAATCTGCAACCCAGGTACGTGCCCTGGCTGGGAATTGAACCTGCCACCTTTTGGTGTACAGGATGGTGCTCTGACCAACTGAGCCACTCAGCCAGGGCAAGAAATTTTAAAAATACAGATAAAGAAAAAAAAGGAAATAAGAATTACCCACATTCTCTCTACCCAGAGATAATGTTAATCACTGTTAACATTTTGAAATACATCTTGCTAGTCTTTTTTTAGTACATATTCTTTAATTGGTTAAAATGGGGTCATATAGAGGGATGAACATATGGATAAATGTATCACATATCTAGTATAATAAAATAGAATATAAATATACAAATTATAAAATTCAACATTTCAGGATACTTAAAGTTTTTCAGAAAAACTAGTGCAGTTTTATTTTTTAAATCTTCACAATAAACCCCGTGTAGTTCTCCAGCTGTGCCCTGGCCTTTTCTAGATTTCATACATGATGAACCCTCTGCTTTGAATCCCTGCCCACAATCCTTATGATGCAAACATATTTGGATATGTTCTGCCATGTTAGATAATTCTTACTACAAAGCATTCAGGAGATTTAAATGTAGAAAGGGCACCTGGTTTCAAAGGAGAGTTGGCAAATAACTTTACTGGAAAGGAATTTTAAAACCATGATTTTTTTAGTGATGCTTGATATTCTGTTTTATAACTATACCATAGCTATGTTGTTGGAAATATAGATTGTTCTGAATAAACATCTTTGTTTAGATGTTTATTCAGAACAATCATTATTCCTAGATGGGAACACAGGCTTCTGCGTCTTGCTGCAGGTTTCTTGGTTGTACTCAGTTACCACCAGCAATATATGTAGGGCTCAATTTAAAGAAAAATGTTCTTAGTGTTTTAAGTGCTTCATTATTGTTTTCTAAGGAAAACTGTCTTCTTAAGCATTATATAGAATAGTCATTCTTAATAGAAGATTTGTGATCCCTCTGGGTCCATGGAAAGCCTTCAAGAAACACATGAATCTCCTTGAAAGTAAATGTATAATGTGGTATTTTTGTGTATTTTTCTGGAGAGATTCCTAAGTCTCTTGAAGGGCTACGAGACTCAGAAAAGGTTAAGTACCAACTGATGTAAAGTGGAGATTCACAAACCCTGCTGCCCAGAAGAAGTCACCTGTGTGTGCATGCCCAAGCGACCTAAGCATTTGGCTTGGAAAATTACTGAGCTTTATCAAACTCTTCTGTGAAAAATCATGTTATGCTTAAAGGATATACATAGCCCTGACTGGTGTGGCTCAGTGGATTGAGCACTGGTCTGAGAACCAAAAGGTCTCTGGTTCAGTTCTGGTCAGAGCATATGCCTGGGTTGCAGGCCAGGTCCCTGGCTGAGGGCAGCTGACTGACATATCTCCCTCATACATTGATGTTTCTCTCCCTCTCTTTCTCTCTTCCTTACCCTCTCTCTAAAAGTAAATAAGTAAGTAAATAAATAAAGGATATATATATTTTTTCTTTCTGGAGAATACATTTTTTATTGATTTTAGAAACAGAGGCAGGGAAAGAGAGAGAAACATAGATTAGTTGCCTCCTGTATGCATCCTTACTGGGGATCAAACCTACCACCTAGGTGTGTGCCCTAACTGGGTGTTGAACCCGCAAACTTTCGGTGTACAGGATGATGCTCCAACTATGCGGCCAGGGTTTAAAGGTTATATTTTAACTACTACACCTTAGTTAAATCATTCCCTTGGTCTAGCTATTAAAACGCATACATCTCTTTGTTTTCGGGTGGGCAACCTGACCAAGCTTTAGCACATACGAGGATGATGCACAAAAAACTAGATTGAAAAGGCCTATTTTTGGCTTCTGTGGGACTGTCCTGTAGAGAGTTGGGTGTGTCTGACATTTGTGGTCTCCTTGAACTGCAGGCTCACGTGATGGTTCCATGGGACTTTGGGAGGTGACAGATGATGTGTTGACCAGAAGTGATTCAAGGCACAACGTGTCACAGGTCCCTGTGTATGCCCACATCACTCACAAGGCCTTAAAGGACATCCCCAAGGAAGACACAAACCCTGACAACTGCAAGGTCCGTGCTCTGGCCTTCAACAACAAGAACAAGGTACGAGCTTGCCAAAGGTTCCCTGAAGCCTATTAGTCTTGTTCCAACTTCTTGGCTTATGTCTTAGTAGAGGCACTTCCCTTTTTCCCTAAGTCATTGCTTGCTGCGTAGCATGGTTCTGAGCCCCCAGAGCACCTCTCGAAGACTAAGGAATGTTGGTGATAAATTATAACAAATTAAAAAACCCACCCTTTGTATTGAGCTCTGCTTTATTTCTCTGGATGATCCATATTTGTGGGCCAGCCTTTCAGAGTGTCCCCAGGGCCACTCTGATTTGACTGTCTCTTATTTGCATATCCCTTTGCAGGAGCTCTATTTTGGGAGTTATTTTCATATATGTCTCTGAAAACAATCACTTATTTTGTCTTTGGTATTCAGTTTATTTTTGCTTTTCACTGTCTCTCTGCAACACTGCCACCAGATCTTATCTAATCATTGAGTTATATCTCCTGCAACTGGGGTGTTTAGTGTTGAGATGGAGACCTAGAGCCAGAAGATGAAAAAGGCTTCTTCCAAAATCTGAATCAAGCCACAATTTGAAGGGTAATTCCCTTAGCCTTTTATCTTCCTTCGATATTTATGTCTTAGGGGTGATTTATCTCTCCTAACTTAGACCCTCCACTTATAGAAGCTCTTGTACTGAGGCTTATAAAACTGTCCTTCATGTGTGTGCTTTGTTCCATCACTGAGGATGTCATAGGACTGATTGCATAGTAAGAGCTTTTTGGACCATGTTGTTGCTAGGAACTGGATTAACTTCTTGGATTCTCTCAAGAAGCAGTATGAATTTAATTAGCTAGCTGTCCAGTTGCATTCTATAGGATTAATAATGAGATGATACTCCCTGGCACCCCTGCAGGAATCATCATGAGATAAGAGTGAAGAATGGGAAGACCCGAACTTCAAGGTTTTCTCCTGCTTACCGTTGTATATTAGTTGCTACAGATTGGAATATAACCTGTTCTTCATTGCTCTTGTAGGAATTGGGAGCAGTGTCTCTGGATGGCTACTTTCATCTCTGGAAGGCTGAAAATACACTGTCTAAGGTGTGATAAACATGACTTAGTAGTTTCACTTAAAAATTCACCTTATGGTTAAAATCTTTAATTGTCCCTGAGCTTTTTCCTTTTTGTCTAAAGTGTCAGTGCTGCAAGGGTCTGGGCATGTGATTCCATGGTGCATGAAATCCTGAGTCTGGCATGCCTCTTTTAAAAGTCTTTAGGTCTTTAGCTCTGCCCTGGCTGGGTGGCTCAGTGGATTATATGCTGGTCTGCGGACTGATTTCCATTCCCAGTCAGGGCACATGCCTGAGTTGTGGGCCAGGTCCAGTTGGGAGTGTGCGAGAGCCAGCTGATCGAGGTTTCTCTTGCACACTGCTGTTTCTCTCCCTCCCTTGCCTGTCTCTCTAAAAAAAAAATAAATAAAATCTTTTTTTAAAAAGACTTTAACTGTGGCCGGGTAGCTAAGTTGGCTAGAGCATCTTCCCGATATGCCATGATTCTGAGTTTAATCCTCAAGTTACATACAAAAGCAACCAGTGAATGCATAAATGAACGGAACAACGAATCTTTCTCTCTCAACATCAACATCAATAAATAAACACTTCTTTAAAAAAAGTCTTGCCCTGGGTGGTGTGGCTCAGTGAATTGAGCGGCAGCCTGCAAACTGAAAGGTCACCAATTTGATTCCTGGTCAGGGCACATGCCTGGGTTGCAGGCCAGGTCTCCAGGTGGAGGCGTGCAAAAGGCAACTGATAAATGTTTCTTGTGCACATGGGTGTTTCTCTCCCTCTCTTCCTCCTTTTCCCTCTCTCTAAAAATAAATCTTTTTTAAAACCCAAGTCTTTTTTTTTCATCTTTAACTTTTTTACAAGATTTTATTTACTTTTAGAGAGGGGAAGAGAGGAAGAGAAACATCGATGTGTGGTTGTCTCTTGCGTGCCCCCTAGTGGGGACCTGGCCTGCAATTCAGACGTGTCCTGATAGGGAATTAATTGAACCAGCGACCCTTTGGTTTGCCAGCTGGCACTCAGTCCACTGAACCACACCAACCAGGGCAAAAAAAAACCCAAGTCTTTAAAAGAGGTGTGCCCTCCTTGGGGCATCCCCACTCAAAATCTCCTTTTCGACTGAGTTTTCTTTCTCCTAAACTCTAAGAGTCCCAGGGAGCAGTGAGCAGTAGCAGCACATCCTGGGCTAAACCCCTGAGCCTGTCTCCAAGGCCCCCTTTTCTCTGGCTTCCCAGTGAGCTAAGAGTGGCCCTGCCTTGGCTCACTCTTTTCCCATAATGTTTCTAGACAACCAAAGCAGCCCTGCTTAGGCTCGCTCCTGTTGCTGCTTCTATGCTAAGCCCTTCCTCGTTACATTGTCCCCAGCTTTAATAAATGTACTCTCAAAATCAAAGAAAAAAAAAAAGGCTTTAAAAGAGATCAGAGGGGCACTTCTTTCCCGTTGCAAGGGCTTGCTGAGAGGCTCCTTTAACAAGCAGTCCCCCAATCCACAATACATTTAAGCATTTGCTTATGGATTTTTGACTCTGGCATGTTGTGAGTGCAGGAAAACCTAAATGTTAGGAACCACTGGCAACTGAAGATCAACTAAACTAAGATTAATCATCTCTAAAATAATCATGTAATGAGAATATGGATTTAACTTACAATATTTACAAGCAACTTTTGCATAAAATGAGGCCTACCTGTGGATCATTTGTCCTCTTCTCATCCTAGAGGCCTTTGCTACTTGTCACTTCTGTGATAAACTGTCGAGAGTTATCAGAGCCCTGGGAATTATTTCTTTACATCACAGTAGCCTTTGAACCCCTCTTGCTTGGTACCTTACCCGCAGAAGGCACTCGCAGATTTTTGGCAGAATGGAAAGGATCCAGGGTTAAGACTAGTTGGGGTTATATGGGGTTGAAACAGTCCTGTGAGTGTGCTTTCTGTAACGTACAACTCCACACAACTGGGGAGTTAGGCTGAGGGTAGCCGGAATTGAGTCCCTTTGAAGAGCAATGAGAAGGGTGGTGGCTCTTCCTGGCAGAGAAAACAGAGTCGGGGCTTGGTTGTACTGCCCTGCAGTTATCCTGGGAAACAGCCTGCAGGTTTTGGTTTTTCTCTCTGCTTCTGATTATTTAATTCCAGCTTGACCGTTTCCCCTAACCAACCTATATAGTCTATATCTTATTACAGTCACCTTCTCTTTCTCTTACATACCTAGTTGTGGGGCAGTATGTTATTTCCTTACTTGGGGCTGGTCTTTTTTTCCCTCTGACTTTGTGTCCTTGTATATAAGGGAAAACCCAGAAGTAGGTGTCTAAGAACAATGCCCTGCTCTGTCCTCTCTGTAATGCTACGGATGCATCTCTTTCTCTGTGTTTTCAGCTCCTTTCCACCAAACTGCCATATTGCCGTGAGAATGTGTGCCTGGCCTATGGTAGTGAATGGTCAGTGTATGCTGTGGGCTCCCAAGCTCATGTCTCCTTCTTGGATCCAAGGCAGCCATCATACAACATCAAGTCTGTTTGCTCCAGGGAGCGAGGCAGTGGTAAGAGTCCCTGTGTTTTGGGTTTGTTTTCAGTTATAGTTAAGATGCTCACATTTCAGAACAGAGAGAATAATGTGTATAACGGGAGTAGTAAGGGAAAGAATAAATAGGCTTTGCTGGAATGATACCTGCTATGTACAGTTTTGAGAGGTTTTGGTCAGTGTTAACAGGAGTAGGTTTTATATCTCATAAGGAAATACTGAAGCCACAAATGTTATTCCGCAGCTTTTATGTGCCAAGAGACATCTTCATATCCCATACACTTATTTGATACACAGATGCATTTTCCCTGTGACCCAGAGTGGTTGGGTGACTTGTTTTAAATTCACACTGTGAGAGAGAGTACTTCTTTGGGTCCTTCAGTTCTAGGCTGTTTGCCACTCTCATAACACAATACCAGATGAAGACCTCTTGCAGTTCCTCACTAGTAGTTTTAGGTCAAATACAAGGAAGTGTTTATTAATGTAATGATTTGTAAATATGCCTGTCACCCTCAGTTTAAATATAGGTTGGAAACATAATGGAGAACAGTTTAGAGTTACGAATAGTGACTGCAGAGTGAGCCTAGGGGAGGCAAGGAGGTTCAGGGCTCTCATGGTCTTAGGCCAAAACCATCTTGAGCATCACAGGTATCTGGCCTTTGAGGTTTATGGGGAGGTTCCCATTAGGTATATGGATGGCAGTATGTCAGTCATCAGGTCTCTGGCTTTTTATTGAAATATGCCTGCTATGGGAAAGGTACACGGGGCTACCATGTGAACGTGGTAGAGAAATTCAGGCTGGCAGGCTATCAAGTGCATGCTCCCCCTGCTCATTGCCCTTTACTTTTCTCTGTCAGGGATCCGGTCAGTGAGCTTCTATGAGCACATCATTACTGTGGGCACAGGGCAGGGCTCCCTGCTGTTCTATGACATCCGATCTCAGAGATTCCTGGAAGAGAGGCTCTCAGCTTGTTACGGGTCCAAGCCCAGACTAGCAGGGGAAAATCTCAAACTAACTACTGGCAAAGGCTGGCTGGTGAGTAAGCCCCTGTCCAGCATGCTTACTGGACAGTGGTAGAAAAATCGTCTTTGCTGTATTCCCTCCCACTCCCACTGACATACCACTACCCATGTACTTTTTCACTAGTGAGAGGCACTCCTTGGACCAGAGGCACTTTTCACTTGATTTTGCTTCTGTGTCAGCATATCCGTGGGAAAACAGACCCGGTAAGACACACTAGTTAACCCAGGGTTTCCCCCCATGGGATAATAGAGGAGGAAGCAGAAGGAACCTTCTGCTGAAGCAGCCAGTAAATTATTAAAGAGTTTGGTTCCAGCTGTCCTGAGAAGACCTTTGCTTTGTATAGTAATTCCTCAGCCTGCTTAGTTCCTCCCCCGTATTCAGTTGGAAAAGTGAGGACCCTGGCCCTGGCTGGGTAGCTCTCTTGGTTAGAGCATCATCCTAATATGCCAAGGTTGCCTAATGTGCCAGGGTCAGTCAGGACACATACAGGAAGCAACCAATGAATGTATAAATAAGTGGAACAAAAAATCATTGTTTCTCTCTGTTTTCTCTCTAAAATTAATTTTTTTAAAAGTGAGCCCCCTATTCACATTAGCATCAATCTGCTGATGTCATGTTATAGGTACAGGACCCTCTTCTCTTAAAAAGACCAGAAAGTATTCCTGTCCCTTCCTTCCCTCTTTCCTGCCCCATGGCCTTGAGGTACTGAAAGAATCTCTCTCTCTCTCTCTCTCTCTCTCTCTCTCCACAGAATCATGATGAAACCTGGAGGAATTACTTTTCGGACATTGATTTCTTCCCCAATGCTGTTTACACCCACTGCTATGACTCATCTGGAACAAAACTCTTCGTAGCAGGGGGTCCTCTCCCTTCAGGGCTCCATGGAAACTATGCCGGGCTCTGGAGTTAATGACAACTAACTCACTCCCAAAATGCAGAGATTTACACTAACTTCCATCCTCCGTTTCCTTGTTTTTCTTTTGATTTTTTTTGCAATTGTGTGAGGCCCTCATATTTCAGTGGGAACACCAGAGTTTGCCTATGGTTTAGGCTCTTGACAGAAAGAAGTTCTATGTAGAAATCTGAAGGTTTTGTTTGTTTGTTTTTTACCTTTTTTCCCTTTTGGTAATCAGAATTTTACTATATTTTTTCTTTTTGGATTCTCAACCAAACATCTAATTCCTATTTGTATTTTTTTTTCAAGTGACACACACTTTCCTCTCTCTCTGATTTCTTTAGGCTGACAGTCATTCTCACCCTTACTTCACTCTTGAGAGGTAGGGCTCCTTTACAATTATGTGGTTGCTGTCAGACTTTCTGTGAAAGTTTGGGGGCTTTGTGTGCATGTGTGTATGTGTGTGTGTGTGTGTGTGTGAACTTGTGTACCTGTAAGTACTGTGCGTTACTGAAATTACCTGGAGTAAGGATTACTTGTAATTAAAATATTTATAAAAGAAACAACTTTGTACACAGAGTCCAGCTTTGGGACTAGTCTTTATCTTGTTTTTTAAAGTCTAATAATACTGATTATGGAAAGTAAAACCAGAAAGAAAAATCACCAGGAAAACCTTTTGAATTAGGTTATAGATTTCCTGGGGACTCTTGTGCCAGGATTCCAAAGTGATCCATCCCCTACCTGTCTTCCATCTGTGTATCCCCCAGGTGAGAACACTTCTCTTTATGTGTCACTTCCACTTCAACTTCCTGTCCACTGAGCCAGTGGCCACTCCCCTAAAACATCAGTCTCCATCCACATACAGCTCTGGAGGCTGCAGAAGGCTTGGGTAGAACTTGGTAAAGGGGATCCCCACCCCAACCTTCCTTGCCCTCCCCTCAAACAAGACCTGATCTGCTATCTCGGGCCTGGAGCTGGGGGCTTCAAGTAAGCCAAGATTAACATTCTCAGTCCCCTTGGCTTTGGGGAGAAACTTCTCCTTTGCCTTTCTTTTAGTCTCTGCAGTGGGTTTTGCTTTTGATTTCTAAATTGGATTCAGTCCAGGAGGGTGGGGAGAGTAGGTGCTTTATCTGTGTATAGTGTGTGCTTCACGTGTGGATGTTTGTTTTCTTAATACAGTGGGGCTGGGGTTGAAGCCTCCTCTCACACTCTGTTGGCTCAGCCCTGGGATGGTGATGTGGTGGCCTGCAGCCACCAGCACTGTGCATGTTTAAAGCATTGGTGTGATTAGTAATTTGTTCTTCCCTTGAACTGTCTATTCTGAGGTTTTTAAACTTGCAGGCACTGACTAACCATGATGTCCAGTTATTCCTTGCTTTTTATGCATCATGTTGCAGATAACAGCTGTTTCCACCAACAAATTCTTCCTTCATTAGAAGCACATAACTCTGCTTCTGTCAACAGCCCATTCTGAGGAAAGGAAAAGTCGTATGTATTCCTGCACTCCAGGTTGTAAATTGCTCTCCTAGACATCCCTCTCTTCCGGCTGTGAGAAGATTGAAAAGAGTGTCTTGATGATGGGGGCTGGTGGGAAGGGAAGTCAGCGAGTCACCCTATCTTGGTGGCACAATGCAGACACCACAGGTTCTAGAATTCTCGTCTTCTAACATAGAGAAATAGGTGCTATACAGGGAATTAAGCAAAATGCTGGATGCTGTAGATCTTTTGTCTTAATTTTTTTTTCTATTAAACTACAGGCTGTAGATTTCTTAGTTCTCACAGAACTCCTATCATTTTAAACCAATTTGTATATTTAAAAAAAAATTTAAGTAGGATGTTTTGTTTTGTACTGTTGCCTGACCCTCCTCTGTGATGGGTAGTGCGTTTGAGTTTTCTTTTCAAAAATGTAGCACTTGACATTTTGCCAAGTAAAAAAATAAACATTATTCCAGTGCAAAGTGGTTTGAGTGAGTATGTATAGCCAAGAGGCAGAGGGAAAAGGCCCTAAGTAACTAGTTGGGGTGCTAGGATTGCTTAGAGCAGAAGGGAAACACAAGTGTTCCTTCAAGGTTAAAGGCAGGTGAGATGTGCCCTGGCTGGTGGGGCTCAGTAGATTGAGTGCCAGCCTGTGAACCAAAGGGTTGCCAGTTCCATTCCCAGTCAGGGCACATGCCTGAGTTGCTGGCCAGGTCCCCAGTTGGGGGTGTGCGAGAGACAACTAATCAATGTTTCTCTCCCTCTCTTCCTCCCTCCCTTCCTCCTAAAAATAAATAAAATCTTTTTATTTTTTTTAAATCTTTATGAAAAAAATTTTAAAGGCAAGTGAAGTGCAAACACTAAGACCTGCCTGGTCTTGGTCCCCATCTCTGGCCCAAGATAAAGTTACTCTGGGATCCAGCTGAGGGTAGATATGCCCATTGGAAGCACTGTGGTACTTGAAAAAAAATATATAGGTTGAAGATGAAGGAGGGTGCAAGTCCTTGCTCTGGATTACCATGGATTTGAGCAACGTGACCAGCTCCTCTTAGGTAAACCAGGATTGGTGATAAGCCCCATCTGCTTCAGTCAGGGTGTCCTGAGAATGACTGAAAAGTAGGTGCACAGTGCTCTGGGAGCAGCCCCCCCACCCCCAAAGAGAAACATCAATTGGTTGCCTCCCATAGGCATCCCAACCAGGAATCAACCCAAATCCTAGGTATGTTCCCTGACTGGGAATCGAACCTGGCAACCCTTTGGTGTACAGGATGACATGTGGCCAGGGCAGAGATCATTTTTTTGCGGTTGCAAGCATAGCTCTCCTTTGTAAGAGGACACAGTGAGCATTGTGAATGATGCTCTTCCCAGAACCTGTTTAGGACTGTAGCTGAGAAAAAGGCAAACTGCTAAATCATTCAACCCTCCTCACAGCTATATCTGGAAGACCCATCAGGGTGGGGCCACAGAGCAAGGCAAGGCAGTACCTATTTCTCTGGCACATGGCACTTGCTCCTTTCCACGGCAAGCTGGATACAGCTGCCTTTTGCACCTGACTTTAAGAGACTGATTCCAAACATGAGTCACACAGGCACCTACCTATGTGATTAAAGGCTGCAAAACAGGAAGGGGGAGGTAAATAAATTGAAGCAATTGAGAGAGCTACCTAGAGAAGGGTCTATTTGGGAAGGGAATGGAATTAGCCTTTGCCAAAATGAAGTTTTTAGAATTCCCAGTCTACGGACCAGTCTGGTGGTTGCAAAAAGTTCTGTGGTCAAATTATTTTGAGGAAATACAGGTTAAAACAAAGGCATTCTTCACAACCTCAGGCTTTTGGTTACTATGGGATATATATTCATGGAACATGATCAGAAAAAGGTGCCAGTGTGTGGGGTGGGGTGGGCTGGCCTGGGCCTCTCGCCTCTGGAATTTTGGCCCTCCTCCCATTTTCCAGCCGGACTTTCCAGCAAAGTATGTATTACAGAAGGGCTTTGTGGATTTTATGGGGTCCTCCCCTTTCCTGCCAGCGGTCCCTATTCCCAGGCCATGAAAGAATTTCCTTGTTCTCCCTTGGGCCACATGCCTCATTCCATATGGCCTACTTGGCTCCTCCCGTCATCCTTCGGGCCCTTTTACAGAGGCTTTGGAATCTCATTTTTGTTCAGGTTCCCTGCGCTGGCCACTCCAAGGGCTGATTAGTATTGATGTGGCCCTCCATGTTTCTAATAAAGGTCAAAACTCCCAGTCCAGGCCACTCTGATCCAGCTGCCACTCAGAGAGTTCCTCAAACAGGTACCCAGAAATAGCAAGTCAGAATGTCCGGACCCTTTGCTTAGCATTGGGGGTTAATCTTGTAAGAACCTAGGGCCCAAACGTTCCTTTTTTTTTTTTTTTTTCCCCAGTTGACTGGTATTTGGGAAACAACAATATTGAGCGGGGGGGTGTTTGGAGAAGAGAAAGAGGAATGATCACTCTATTACGTACTTTTAGATGTATTTCATGCTAGTGTGTTAAGCTGGCTGGAAGCTTTGGGAGGGTAGAAACATGGGCTTCTAATTCTGGAACTGCTGTGAAGACAAGAAAATTTGGGTTTCTGCCCTGGCTGTTGTAGCTCACTGGACTGAGTGCTAGACAGACTGAGAAACAAAGGTTGCCAGTTCAATTCCCAGTCTAGGACACGCTGGGCCAAGTCCCCAGTAGGAGGCGTGTGAGAGGCAACCACACATTGATGTTTCTCTTCCTCTCTAAAAAACAAGTAAAGAAAATCTTACTAAAATGGTTTTAAAAGATTTTGAAAGGATAATAATACTCATTAACTGAGCTCAGAGTCACATGTTTACTACATTTGTTGAGCAGTATTCAGAACTGTAATTAACATCCCTAATTCTATGGACAGGAAGAAAACATATGATCAAACTTAAAGAAAATAAACTTCAGCCCTGGCTGGATAGCTTAGTTGGTTGGAGCATCGCCCCTATATACTGAGATTGTGGGTTTGAACCCTGGTCAGGATGCATACAAGAATCAATCAATGAATATAAAATATGTGGAACAACAAATCAATGTTTCCCTATATCTCTCTGTAATTAATAAACCTCAAAAAGAAAAAAAAAACTTCCTTCACTCATAACTATTTTTTTCTTAGTGGCAACCTGGACAGAGAATGAAGCTTTGTTCTCCAGGGCCAAGGCTATTTGCAGATTGCAGAAGATAGCATGGTGGGCAACATGGCCTGAGTTCTGGTGATTTGGGCCCTGCAATGTATTGCTGGCTTGAGAAACACCCCTCATCTTCACTGCCCCCACCCCCACCCCTGTGCCCTTCTTGGGTCTTCTGTTAAAATTATTGTCCCAACCACCATGCTTAAGGTTCCACCATTATATCTTTTTTTCTTTTAGGGGAATGTTATATTACCTGATTAAAGATATTATCACTATTCCCTGAAAGGGGATACATGTCACTTCTACCCCCTACCCCAGTGCCAGCTATTCAAAGTATGGACTAAAGGGGAGGATATCAGTTCAATTCTAGTTCTACTGCTGCTACTTATGACCATATGGCTTGGGATGAGTTTTCTCTTCTCTGGACATCAGTTTTTGCATCTTACACAATGAGGAGCGGAGTTCAGATCAGATGATTTCCTGGATCCTTAACATCCACAACTATGCTGATACAGGGAAACTTAAGAATAATTTTTTAAAAAATGAATCCTTTCCTCAAGCAGTTTGTCATCCACCCAGGTGAATATTCTAGCAGGTTTGCTATATTTTTGGTAGGTCTTATTTTCCTAATGGCCTCCAATAAAACTGGGGATTGTAGTGGGTTGAATAGTGTCCCCCAAAAGTCTGTGTCCATCTGGAACCTCAGAATATGATGTTATTTGGAAATAGGGTATCTGCAGATGGATATAAGGTAAGGATTGAGATGAGATCATACTGGGTTAAGGTAGGCCCTAGTTCCAATGAGAGTGTCCTTAGGAGACAGACAAGGTCATACAGAGGCACAGAGAAGATGGTGTGAAGATAGAAGCAGAGGTTGCAGTGATTTGCCTTAAGCCAAGGGGTGACATGAGCCAACAGAAGCTAGAAGAGGCAAGGAAAGATTCTCTGTTAGACTCTTAGGGAGGAGCACAGTGGCCCTTATGACACCTTAATTTTGGACTTCTGGCCTCCAAAACAGGATTTCTTTTGTATTAAAATCCTCACTTGAGGACAGGTTTTTTGGTGGGTTTTTTTTTTTTTTTCATTGCTTTTAGGAAGAGAAACATCGATGTGAGAGAGCAGCATTGTGCCCAGGTCAGGGATCAAACCTGCAACCTAGGTATAATGTGACCTGACTGGGAATCAAATCCACAACCTTCCTGTTATAAGACAACAATCCAACCAACTGAGCCACACCAGCCAGGGCAAGAGTTTCTGCCGCTTGAAAACCAAGTTTGTGGTCATTTGTTTTGGCAGCCCTAGCAAACTAATACAGGAGTAATCTGAGGAATTTTTGGATACCAATTTTTATAAAGTCATACTTGAGATTTAAGAAAAGAGTGTTCTTTTATGATAACACAAAGGTGAACTATGCTCACATAGTAGGGCTAAGACTTGTAAAAGCAAAAATTAAAGCTCAGAACTGCACTTGAATTAATTCTGTGTAGGAAAACCTGTTCCTTCTGGACCGAGGCAGTAATCCCCCAAACTGCTCACCTCTGGTTGCTTTCCTATCACAAATTATCTCAACATTTTTTAAACTTTCATTCTAGATCATCTTTTTACAAATCAGATTATAGAGTCTCAGGATGCTTTTCCATCCTGAATTTATTAGCCAATAACATGTACAGCTAGCTATCTGCTGTTCCCCTTGATAGCAGGAAGTAACAGGAGTTCTAGCTAAGGCCTGAGAAATGTATAAATCAAGGGCAAAGGACACATGCATCAACAATAAAGTCAGCATCGACTTTTTCTTTATTAAGACTTATTTACTTTTAGAGAGAGGGGAAGGAAAGGATGGAGGGAGGGAGACATTGATGTGTGAGAGAAACACCAATGGGCTGTCTCTTGCATGTCCCCAACTGGGGATGTGGCTCGCAACCTGGGCTTGTGTCCTCACTGGGAATCGAACCAGTTACCTTTAGGTTCACAGGCCAGCATTCAAGTCCACTGAGCCACACCAGCCAGGGCTAGTGGCTTATTTAACTGGTGGCTGTGGTTTCTATTAGGAACCCTTAGCCTATCAAAATGGTGTTTATTATGTTGAAAAAATATTGATTATATCCATTGACCCAGCAGTTTCACTTCTGGGAATTTTAGGAAATATTCTAGGCAAGCATGCAAAGATAGATGTATATGGATAGTTGTCATAGCATTAATTAGCAAACAAAACAAAACAAAACAAAAACCTCAAAGTATAGCCCTGGTCGGGAATAGTTCAGTTAGTTAGAGCATCGTCCCTATGCGCCAAGATTGCTGATTTGATCCCTGGTAGGGGCACATAC